TTTTTCTATTTCTGTCCATTGAAACGGTCACAGTGGCACGAAATTGTTTCAAGCATTTTTTTGTCCGTTTGTCCACTGACCTATTCGCAGGTGCACGAAATTCTGGGTTTCCAGCCTCTTGTCTGTTTCTGCGCATTTAACTTGGGACAGTTCTGCAAAACGGCTTCCAGCATTTCCCCCCGGTTTTATCCGCGTGGGCGTTCACAGCGGCACAAAATAATTTCAAGCAGGTTTTTCTACTTGTATCCATTGACGTTTCCACGGCTGCACCAAATTATGGGGTTCAAATATTCCCCCCCCCCCAGGTTTTATCCATTAAAATTCACTGTTGTCCACAGTCTTGGGGGTTTACGCATTTTTTAACGTCTATTTCTGGCCATTTAAATTGTCACAATTCTGGGGGCTCACCGTTGCATTTCGATTTGCATTGATTGAAATCTTCAGTGTGGCGGGAAGTCGTAGGGCAGTTCGACGAGGGGGGTGGCCAGACAAGAATTATTTTACGACAGGAGACGCTGACAGTCGCCAAACTGCAACCAGGTCACCCTCCCGTGTCAAAATGCTCCTCTGTCTGCAGGCCACATGGTCCTGACTTTGATTCGCTCAGCACGGCTGGAAATATTTCGGCCTCGCTTTGCTAGATGGCTAGCTGACCTCCTGAGGTCCCTTCCAACCCGGATAGTCTATGATTCTACGAAACCGACCTTTGCCGGCATTTCCCGATGGAAACCGAATTCCTCCGAGCCGAGTTCTTTCCATCCTGTGCCCCAGTCTTGGAGCAGAGCCAGTCTCTACGTAAAAGAATAAATGGACACAAATCAGATGTCAAGAATTATAACATTCATAAACCAGTCGGAGAACACTTCAATCTCTCTGGTCACGCAATCACAGACATGAAGGTCGTTATCTTAAAACAAAAAAACTTCAAATCCAGACTCCAGCAAGAAACCGCTGAATTGGAATTCATTTGCAAATTGGATACTATTAATTTAGGCTTAAATAGAGACTGGGAGTGGCTAAGTCATTATGCAAGGTAGCCTATTTCCCCTTGTTTTTTCCTACCCCCCCCCCCAGATGTTCTGGTTTAACTTGGATTTAAACTTGGAGAGTGGTCAGTTTAGATGAGCTATTACCCGCAGGAGAGTGAGTTTGTGTGTGTATGGGGGTGGGGGGGATGTGAGAAAACCTGGATCTAGGCAGGAAATAGCCCGACTTGATTATGTAAAGAGTTGTCACTTTGGATGGGCTAGCACCAGCAGGAGAGTGAATTTGTGGGGGGGGGTGGAGGGTGAGAAAACCTGGATTTGTGCTGGAAATGGCCCACCTGTTGATCACTTTAGATAAGCTATTACCAGCAGGACAGTGGGGTGGGAGGAGGTATTGTTTCATATTCTCTGTGTGTATATAAAGTCTGCTGCAGTTTCCACGGTATGCATCTGATGAAGTGAGCTGTGGCTCACGAAAGCTCATGCTCAAATAAATTGGTTCGTCTCTAAGGTGCCACAAGTACTCCTTTTCTTTTCTCTCTTGGAGGGAGCCTTGTCGGGCTGTTCCCCAGCTGCCTCACCCCAGAGGTGGCTGCATCTCAGCCATCCCCATGCGGTGTTATGCACGGCTGTTCTTCAGCTGTGCTGCCCCAGAGGTGGCTGCATCTCAGCCATCCCCATGCGGTGTTATGCACGGCTGTTCTTCAGCTGTGCTGCCCCAGAGGTGGCTGCATCTCAGCCATCCCCATGTGGTGTTATGCATGGCTGTTCTTCAGCTGTGCTGCCCCAGAGGTGGCTGCATCTCAGCCATCCCCATGCGGTGTTATGCACGGCTGTTCTTCAGCTGTCCTGCCCCAGAGGTGGCTGCATCTCAGCCATCCCCATGCGGTGTTATGCACGGCTGTTCTTCAGCTGTCCTGCCCCAGAGGTGGCTGCATCTCAGCCATCCCCATGCGGTGTTATGCACGGCTGTTCTTCAGCTGTCCTGCCCCAGAGGTGGCTGCATCTCAGCCATCCCCGTGTGGCGTTATGCGCAGCTCTTCCCCGGCTGTCCGGTCCCAGAGGGGGCTGCCTCTCAGTCTTCCCTGTGCAGCATGATGCATGGCTGTTCCCCAGATGCCCCCCAGAGGTGGCTGCATCATCTTGCATGTATTTCATTTGGCTAGTCTGGGATCTGTACGGGTGGAAGTGTCAATTGTGTGATAAATGGGGGTGGGTGGGTTTGGATGGGAGGGATGGAGGGGGGAACTGGGAACCCCCCTGCTCTGACCCTCCCTCCCCACTCACCCGTCCTCATGCCCCCCTCAGACTTGCTGAGCAGCAATCTCTCAGCGGACGTTGAATGCGCTAAGATCATTGCCCAGGACTCCAACAGCATGAGCGCCTGGTAAGTGGGGGCTGCCGGGGGGGCACAAGGGGGGGGCATGGGGCGATCCTGGAGTCTTGTGTAGAAGAGACTCTCCGCTTCAGTATTTTTTGAAAGCCTGTTTTTAGCCCTCGCGATTGTGCCGGAAATCTCGACATCACGAGCTGAGCGCCACCCGACAGGCTCAGAGCCCCGAGCCGCCCCGACCCCTGGGAGCAAAGAACCCAAACAATTCCCACCTACGTCCAGGCAGAGACACCTGCCCTGCCCCGGATGTGCAGGAGAAACCAGCTGGTACAAACCCCGCCGCCCCCCGACACTCGCACATGCTAGGAAACAAAGAAAAGGACCCGAAAATGAAGCAGTGTCAGAAACGCCCCCCCAAAAAAAACCTTCATGATTTTCCTGCAAATCTTATGAGTGTTTGTTTTGGCTGATCTCAGGATTTTCTGCTACTGTCCCGAGTGTTTGTTTTTGTTGCTAATCTCGTGATTTCCCTGAAACTCTCATGTCTTCTTTGGTGGGGCTCAGGGTTTCCGGGATCCTTTTTAGTTTCTGTTGCTAAGCTCATGACATTTTTTTTTCTTTTTTTTTGCAAACCTCACGAGTTTATTTTGCTCATTTCATGATTTTTCTGCGTAACTCTGGGGTTGGTTTTTGTTTTTTGTCTGGCATGGGGTTTTGGGGACGCTTGTGGTTTGTCTGCAAACCTCAAGCTTGTTTGTTTGTTTGTTTTTTTGCTTGCTTTTTGGGTGGGTTTTTGCTAATCTCCTGAGTTTTTGCAGCCTGACTAGATTTCCGAGGGCTGGGCCCTGATCCATAAAGGACTAGCAGCTAATTTCTCAGCTCCTTATCTGGCTGCTTAACCGTTTCCCTGCAGACCAGCCCCCTTGGGAGATGGGGGGTGCAAGCACCCCTATTTCACAGGAGGGGAAACTGAGGCACAGAGCAGCAACGTGATCTGCCCAGAGTCTGTGGCAGAGGAACCCAGGTCTCTCCTGCCCAAGGCCGGCGCCTGTAACCCCTCGGCTGTGTTTTATGAGGCACCTCGGCTGGGTGGCCACTGATTCTTTTGCTCTCTTCCGTCAGGGTGGCCTGGACGTCGTATTGCCAAGGCCAGGATCTGTGGCAGTACGTAGAAGGATGCGGCGTGTGAGAGCTGCACCGGGCTTGGGTTCCGTCCCGCCTTGAGTTCTCTGAGCCCTGGCTCGACGCCTTTCCCCAGATCTTTTCAAACACAGTCACCACCCAAATCCAAGACCCAGCATCCAGTAGCTCAGATTCCTGGACCATCACAACAGGGGAAATGGGGTAGTGGGATAGGGCGGGGGGAAGGGAGTGGGGTCTAGTGGTTAGAGTCGGAGGAGCTGGGAGCCAGGAGTCCTGGGTTCTCTCCCTGGCAATGGGAGGGGACTGGAGTCTAGTGGGTTAGAGCAGGGGGGGCTGGGAGCCAGGACTCCTGGGTTCTCTCCCCGGCTCCGCTCAGTCAGTGTAGTGGAGTACAATCTAGCTCATTCACATAGATTTGGGGTGGGGTAGAACTAATCCTGGGGTATAAACTAGCGGGAGGTTTTCAGGAGGGAGCAGCGTGGGAACGCAGAGGATGCCCTCTTCTCGGCAGTCTGGGTTGATTTTCCAGTTGATTTGATTGTGTTACTTCGGGTTCTTTTCCTATTAAAGTAGATTCCTCAGCCTCAACCGATGCCTTTCGTCATTCTTTTGATAACACACAGCATGCATCAGTGGCCTGACATTGAAATGCAGCCACCTCTGGGGAAAGGCAGCTGGGAACAGCCACACATAACGCTGCCTGGGGATGGCTCGCCCGGCGCTGAGATGAAGCCACCAATGGGGTGGGGCAGATGGAGAACATGCACACACAACACCTGACCCTATGAGTGCTGTGAACCCCGTCCATCCCCCTGGGGCTATGTCACATCTGGGGAAAGGCCTGGGAGCTGGCAGGTGGGGAGCTGTTCCTTGGGCAGGAAATAACTGTCCTGAGCCTTAAATCATCTGCCAGTGTCATTACATTATCCAGCCACATATTCCCCGTCCATATGCACCCATCCATCCCAGTACACACCTCTCCACCTGTCCATTCCCACCCCCCATCCATCGCTCCCAACATCCCCCCAGCATCTCCATACCCACCCATCCGTGCCTCCACTCCTCCACCCATCTCTCCATTCCTCCATCTGTCTGTCCCACCCCACACACCTGCCTCCATCCATCACCCGTCTATCTATCTACCTATCTATCTATCCCCATAAACGCCTATTCATCCATCCATATACACCCATATGTATGTATCTAGCCCTAGCTCTGTGTAAACTCGAAAGCTTGTCTCTCTCACCAACAGAGGTTGGTCCTACAAAAGACATTACCTGCCCCATCTTGTCTCTTTAATAAAAGACAGGTCAATCCAATTTTTATCAGCCATGTTGCTGTGTTTGAAGGGAGAAAGCCTATACTGATGAACTGGTTGGGTCAGCGTAATTACAGACTCGTCTTCTGTTGAAACTGTCATTCAAAACTGGGAAAAAACCCCAAACCCAAGTCACTTAAAACTTTCTTCCTTCAAAAACAAAGGATCAATTTTTTTTTTGATATAAGCTTTGGAAGCCAACAAGTGCTACAAATTTCTGTATTAAAAAGGGTGTTTTATTTGATCTCCCCTTTTTTTTTTCTGGGAAAAATTCCAACCATCTTTGCAGGTTTCCAACACCCGAGCAGCCAGGCACAATGCAAGAAGGCGCAAGAGTATGAATTGCTCGCAGGCAGGCGTGGGAAGCAATTGCCGGTTTATCTAATTCTATAGAGGGCTAGGATCAGCAAACTTGCGGCTGTGGCTTTCCAACTCCGGGATGTCTTCGAAGGAAGCCGGGGGCAGGATGAAGTGAAGGGAAAATCTTAGATAAGGGTGCAAGAGAAACCGGCGTCGAGAGAAACACAAAGTCTCCAGTTACCTTCGGGACTAAATTGGTGCCCGCAAAGAAGATGCTGCATGAAAACTTTCGAATGGAAACAAACAGGTTTCAGGTCCTTCCAGATGGTTCCCTTGTCCTGTGATGAGCAAAACGTATTTGCGATGCAGTTTTTTAAATTGTTTGTTTCATTGAAAAAACTTTTATTTCAGTTAAAATAATGGGTGTCTGGGCAGCGCCTGGCATGATGAGGGGCCCTGATCTCGGTCGGGGTCTGGGATCTTCTGGCATGACGGGGCCCTGATCTCGGTCGGGGTCTGGGCAGCTCCTGGCTTGATGAGGGGCCCTGATCTCGGTCGGGGTCTGGGCAGCTCCTGGCATGACGGGGCCCTGATCTCGGTCGGGGTCTGGGCAGCTCCTGGCATGATGAGGGGCCCTGATCTCGGTCGGGGTCTGGGCAGCTCCTGGCATGATGAGGGGCACTGATCTCGGTCGGGGTCTGGGCAGCTCCTGGCATGATGAGGGGCCCTGATCTCGGTCGGGGTCTGGGCAGCCGCACATAACGCCACACAGAGATGGCTCACCTGGTGCTGAGATGTAGCTGGTTCTGGGGTGGAGTGTGGTAATATGGTTGTTTCGTTTTTCAGAAAGAGGGTTTAATTAGGGCACAGTGCTGAATATGTCACAGAGGCCAGGACTTTGCCGTTTGTCTGAGACTTTCAAAGTTGAGTGAGGGGGTGCTGACCACCCTCAGCGGGGGCTGCGAGCAGGAGGCCACAGAGGACAAGGAGGAGACGGACACTCACAAATTATTTTAAAGAGGTATCATTGAATTTCATTCGTCACAGCACTTTTTTATCACAGGTCATGGAGCCATCCTGGTGAATTTAATACAAGTCACGGGGCTCGGGGCAAATAGCAGATGGTGACTTTCCCACTAAACCTGTGACTTTTCTTCCTAGAAGCCAAGGCCAGATGGGACCCTTGTGACCATGTAGTCTGACCTAGAAGTGACTAGTGCCCCAAAACAATTCCTAGAGCAGGTCGGGTAGAAAAACATCCCAGCTTGATTGAAAAATGGCCAGTGATGGAGAATCCACTGTCCCCCTCAGTAAACTGTCCCAATGACTCTTGCCGTTAGAAACGGACCCCTTATTCCCAGGCTGAATTTGTCTGGCTTCAACTTTCAGCCATTGGATCTGGTTCGACGCCCAGTGCTGGACTGATGGGCCCCTTATTAAATATTTGTTCCCCTCCCTTAGTACTTCTAGCCTGGGATCAAGTCAGCCTTTAAACCAGGGGTGGCCCGCCTGAGCCTGAGAAGGAGCCAGAACTTACCGATGGACATTGCCAAAGAGCCACCGTCACACGTCAGCAGCCCCCCGTCAGCTCCCCCACCCCGTTCCCAGCGCGGCCTGCCCACCGCCAGCCCCGCCGATCAGCGCCTTCCCCTCCCTCCCCGCACCTCCCGATCAGCTGTTTCGTGGCGTGCAGGAGGCTCTGGGGAGGAGGGGGAAGGAGCGAGGGCACGGCAGGCTCAGGCGAGGGGGCAGGAAGGGGTGGAGTGGGGGCAGGGCCTGGGGCAGAGCCAGGGGTTGAGCAGTGAGCCCCCCCCCGCCCCCCCGCAGCCCGTAGCTCCAGCCCCGGAGTCGGTGCCTAGACAAGGAGCAGCACGTCAACGGCTGAAAAGCCTCACGTGGCCCCGGAGCTTCCCTGCTTTAAACCTTCTCTTCGTTAAACACACTAGCTGGATCTCCGGCATCTCTCGCTCTCAGGCAGGGTTTCTAACCCTTGAATCATCCTCCTGGCTCTTCTCTGACCCCCTCCCCGATTGCTCAATCTCCTTTTGCTTTTACTACATTTACCGGGGCCGCTCTGCGATTTGTGATTTTAAAAAACGTCAGGGCATATCAGCAGCCCCAGTTCTAACGTTTCCCCCAAGGGAGCGGCTCCGAGAAACGCAGGGTGAACTCAGGGGGGCGGGAATTGCAGGACCACTTACCTACAGCGGCTTCACTGTCAGTTACAGAGTAATTTTATTCCCTTCAATATTGCTGCACCTGATGTTATTGCAAGTATAACTGGTCCCATTACAGATGCTCCAGCTGCTGATGCTGCAAGATATCCAAGATATATTCCTCCAGTTCCAGCTCCTATAAGTGTTAAACCTTTTAGTTTTCCTTTTGGTTTTTTTTCCAGTCCATGGCGGCTCGGTTGCAGGTCTGCAATAAATAATAAGATTTGAATGAGGCCACATCGCAGATGGGCTTCTCAATTGTCAAGCCTCTGACATGAAGCAGAAAGGGACCTTGTTCTCTTCTCTTGGTCTCATTGTTCAGCTCAATAGCCGGAGCTGCTGGCGTCTCTCGCTCTTAAACAGGTGTAGCTTCCTTGAGAAGCCGGCCTGAGGTGTCTTTAGGTGGGAAACAGCCACACTGCAATGCTGCACAGGGAATGGGAGAGTTCGCCCAGCACTGAGATGCAACCAACTCTGGGGTTGGGCAGCTGGGGAACAGGTGCGCATAATACTGAAGGGGATGGGTCTCCTGGCACTGAGATGCAGCCACCTCTGGGGTGTGGCAGCTGGAGAACAGCCACATAGCAACACCATACAAAAGCTCTGACCACTAGACCCCACTGCCCTCCCAGAGCTCAGGGTAGAACCCAGGAGTCATAAGAACGGCCAGATTGGGTCAGTCCAGTGGTCTGTCTAGCCCAGTATCCTGTCTCCTGACAGTGGCCAATGCCAGGTGCCCCAGAGGGAATGAACAGCACAGGGCAATTATTGAGTGATCCATCCCCCTTTGTCCAGTCCCAGCTTCTCAGTCAAAGATTTAGGGACACCCAGGGCATGGGGTTGTGTCCCTGACCATCCCGGCTAATAGCCATTGATGGACTATCCTCCATGAACGTATCTAGTGCTTGTCTGGACCCAGTTACCTTTCCCATCCCTCTGATCCCAAGGAGAAATGTTTCTGAGGTTCAGAAAAACAAAGCTGACTTATTTCCCCTGATTTTCATGCTTCCTCTGAGCCTGGAAGCCGAAGTGCCAAACCACTGTGAGAAATCGCTTCTGGTGGTATGTGTGATTCGATCACTAATGGCACAAGCCAGCCCGTTCTCAGGAGCCTTTCAGCCTCCCTGGGTGGATCCAGCTCCACATTTGGGTGCATCGGGGAACCGGGGTTGGCAATTTGTTCCCTGGATCTGTTTGCCGTCGCTGCTGATTTGCAGAGCAGCCGACAGCCTCTTGCACCAAAGCAGGCTCAAGATGCAACCCACCCACCTCTTTCAAATCCAACACCCCCTTCCCCTCCTGTTCTCCTTCTTGGCTGCATTTACCTCCTGCTTCTCTGGCGAGTTCTTGAGCAAGTTCCCTTTGCGGTACCTTTTCCATCACTGTCGCAGCTGCCCTCAAGGCGTAAGTCCGGCCCAAATTCTGTATCAAAGCCTCGACAACCTCTTCCAGGCTGGCGTTCCTCTGGAATGTATTGGGTTTGTCGTAGTAATCAAATTCACAGACAAGCTCATTCATGGGTGTCTTGCACAGCAAACGTTTGAACTTTTTAAATTGATCTGTGTTCAGTTTCTTGAGCCTGGTGGTGAGGATCTGTCGGACAGCAGTCCCCTTGGCGACTGAAGCCATCTTACTGAGTAGCCTGGGGATAAAGAGGACAGAAGGGATAAGGAACTGAGACTGCAAAAGAATAAATGGACACAAATCAGACGTCAAGAATTGTAGCATTCAAAAACCAGACGGAGAACACTTCAGTCTCCCTGAACACTCAATAACAGACTTAAAGTGGCCATTCTTCACCAAAAAAACTTCAAAAACAGACTCTAACGAGAAACTGCAGAACTGGAATTAATTTGCAAACTGGACACCATCAAATTAGGCCTCACTAAAGACTGGGAGTGCCTGGGTCATTACAAAAACTAATTTCCCCCGTTGATACTCTCACCTTCTTGTCAACTGTTTGAAATGGGCCACCTTGATTACATTGGCCTCATTAGCACTACAAAAGTGATTTTTCCTCCCTTGGTATTCACCCCTTCTTGTCAACTGTTGAGACTAGCCCACTTCCATCTTAATTGGATTGGCTCGTTAGCACTGACCCCCCCCACTTGGTAAGGCAACTCCCGTCTTTTCATGGGCTGTGTATTTATACCTTCTTACTGTATTTTCCACTCCATGCATCTGATGAAGTGGGTTTTAGCCCACGAAAGCTTATGCCCAAATACATGTTAGTCTCTAAGGTGCCACAAGGACTCCTCGTTGTTTTTGCTGATACAGACTAACACGGCTACCCCTCCGAAACCTGAGACCTTTGGTGTCCGTCTTGACTTTACTGACATAAAATACAACTTTCTGCACAGGAGCATGTCCAAAGGGGACGTTCCAACTGTCCTTTTTTAGCAGCAACCACCCAGGTGTTACATGGTCACAGCTGTTTCTAGGTCTGCTCGACACACAAAGTAATAACCCCGAGTTCTTCACTAGAGCTTTTCGCCAGGAGATCTCAAAGCGCTGTCCAAAGCAGGTCAGGCTCATCTGCTGCCCTTGTACAGTGACAAATAACAACAAGAAGGAGTCACGTTGTTCTTCTCCCCACCACTCGCTTGCTGAACAATTCGGACGAAGCCACCACTTCCCACGGGCGTGTGGACGGAGCATCTCAGATGCCAAATCCAACCGGCAAGGCAGCTGCAAAAATGCCGGGATCCCGGCGGGCTGTGCAGTGACGTCTGCTCGGCCCAGGTCCGAACCACAGGGCTGGGCCCATCATTCCCGGCCTCCTTGCTTTCCCCTGGCTCCACCCTTCCACATCAGCTTTCCTGTCCTCTGCCCCCCACATTCCCCTGCCCCCACATTCCCCTGTACCCCTCAGTCTGCCTCCTGCCCCCACATTCCCCTGCACCCACATTCCTCTGTACCACTCAGTCTGCATCTGCCCTCCCCTCCCTATTCTCCAGTAGCTACCTCCAGTGAGCGAGCACTAGCCAGGGGAGCCATTTCAGATTGGGGGGGGCAACTCCAACGGTGATTCCAGGGGCTACTCAGACACCTGAACAATCGTGGTTTTTTGCAGCTATAATGGGTGGGGAGGGCAAAAAATTAGAACTCACCCCCCTCAATCTCCACCCATGTTGGGGCACAGGTGCCCCCCCCCCCCCCACTAAACGGCATCCCTGCTAGACCCCCACATTTTCCTTGCTTCTCTTTCACCCTAGTGAACCACTGCATCACTCTGGTTAATTCCCCTTCTTCAACCATCAACCCCCTCCGGACCATGGTTCCCACCTGCCCTCCCTCAGCAACACCTCACTCCGCTCAAAGCCTTGAAAACTGATGGATTTGGGGCAATGGACTGACTTTCTGGAGCTAAAGTTTCCCTCTTCCAGGAGCCTGTGCCATGGCCCCTGTTCCCGCCTCTGCAGTCTCCTTACCTGTGCAGCACGGCACGCTGCTCAGTGAGTTCAAAAGAGCAGCTTCTTCTTTTATATTTAGTGAAACTAGCATGCAAAGGCGCTGTTTAAAAAGCTTTGCATTGTGTGTCGTGCTCTGCTCAAAAACAGGAAAGAGGCCGCGCTCAGTGCTATATATGTGCAGGAGTAGGACTGCCTCTCGCAGGGAGAATGATCTATGTCGACCTTTGAGTGTTTGCTTTGTCAGTAGGTTTCCGGTGCATAACTGTATCTGAGAAAGGCCAAGGACAGCCAAGCCCAGCCCGCAGATTTGTGAGGAACTGAATATAAACCAAGCTGGGTTTCTGGAAGGCAAAACCTAGGGCTCTGTAAGAAGTGTGTCAATTTCCTGGAAAGGTTCCTACGTAACACACAGATTGTGGAGCCCTTCCCTGCATATTTCACCCGAGGAGATTTACGGGCCCTAAGTCTGACCCTGATGCCTTTGAGATCCCGACCCACCTGTATTGCTTTCGTTTCTCCACATCTTATCCCGATTGCCAAGACATTGGTCCTGCTGTAGCTTTAACCAAACAAACATTCAGCTGCTGTTAATGATTTAATGCTTACAATACCCCACAAATGTACCCAGTGATGTACAGAGACATGAGACAAGGATCTAGCCACATGGCCCTGACAATCTCACTTAGACAAACAAAACCAGGCAGCGTTACTGACCAAACACAAGCTGGTGAGGGATACCGCCAGCATGGGAGAGGGGTGTCAGGAAAGAAGTGAGCGTTAAGAAGGGACTGGAAGAAGAACAAGGCAACTGAGCAGAGAAAATGTGGGAAACTCAGAAGACAGCCTGGGAGTAAGTGTGACACTGAAGAGACAAAGGAGCACTCGGGAGGGAGCCGCACAGGGAGTGATAAAACTTGCACTGGTTTAAAGAAATCACGGGGACACTTATTTTGGCTTGAAGGCAGCTGCCTTGGTTTAATTTAAGTCAAGGGAAAGGGGGAGATTTTACTTTCCTCTGAGAGTGGCCACTGGAATGGTCAGAGACCAGATGAGACAGACGTCTGGTCTGGCCTTTCTTATAATGCCCTGAGCCACAGCTCAGCTCAGTGGAGACGCCCCGACTTCAGTTTTCAAAGCGTGGCGGCATAGGGAGTGTTATACTTAGAAAATGAAAACCCGCAGGATCTTATTTAGGGGATAAGGCAATACGCCGTGTTTATTGTGAATACAGAAAGGATCATTTTTAAGCAATCAGTTATAGCTATAACATTCCATTCACTCACACATTCATTCACTCACACACACAAGTTCTGCAAGGTTGTTACAGTTACCAGCCTAGAAGTTGCTCACGACAAGTCACAGGCCAGGTAGCCTGAACACGAGGATGGAGCCAAGTCTTGTCAGATGCACATCCGATGCTCCTGGAGGTTGGCTGCAGAACCAGACTCAAAGTCCTTCATCTTTAGAGTCTGTCTTTACAGGAATCCATCTTCGTACAAGCCTACGAAGTTTGCTTTGTCATGCTACTCTCACGTTTGAAGTGATAATCAATCACGCAGATGGTACAACAGTGTCGATTTGTTGTTATCTGGTTCTTCAGACCCCCTGTCCTTGGGGCAGTTGGGGTGGATTCGGGTTTGCCCTCGGGGTTATCCAGTTATCTCACCCAACACATTCTTCGGCCCAACGATCCTGGAATTATAACTCTAAAGCTTTCCAACCTTTGATTACGCATTCAGACCAAACATATAGTCACGACCACACTCTATTTCACTTAACACGCTTCCGATCACATCTACCTTTTGTTATCTATCCATCCTTTACATAACCCTCTGTCATTGTTCAGGAAAAGTTAGCACATGTGACTCCATTTTGGTTTGGGGCCCACCATTGTCTAAAAGCAAACACATCATGCACCAGGAGGCGTGTTCCTTAGACACTGCATTCCTGTGAAAATCCTCCCCCTTGTCTCCAGCCTGTCTTGACTCCCAGTATCTGTTCTTTGTCAGTCCGTAACTCCCTATCTTCTGGCCTTTGATGTGAGGCCTCCCATCCTGATAATAAAGGTTACTGATGCATGGCTTTAGGACCATGCTGTGTAATTAACATACTGGTATAGCACGAGGAATGCACCAAGCAGGGATAGGTGGTAGATAAGACAAGGGTTTGTTTATTGGCTAAGGTTTCCGATGCACGAGGGCAACATGCTTTGCTAAAAAGTATATAACCTTTGTATAATCTGTATTCAGGGTCCCCTCCTGGCTAGCAGGGGGGCACCACGCTCGAGCGTAATAAACTTAGTGTCTTTTGAGAACTCTGCAGTTGTGGACTTTGTTTATGTGCCTCAGCCTAGATTCGAACGAAACTGTTACGAATTATACCTGAGAGGACCCGCACACCAATGCTGCGAATTACACTTGGTAGGTCACGCACAGTTCGAATGTAGGCAAAAAAACAGATACCGGGAGTCAAGGCAGGCTGGAGACAAGGGGGAGGATTTTCACAGGAATGCAGTGTCTAAGGAACACGCCTCCTGGTGCATGATGTGTTTGCTTTTAGGCAATGGTGGGCCCCAAACCAAAATGGAGTCACATGTGCTAACTTTTCCTTAACGTCATAAATATAAAGGGAAGGGGAACCACCTTTCTGTGCACAGGGCTATAAAATCCCTCCTGGCCAGAGGCAAAACCTTTCACCTGTAAAAGGTTAAGAAGCTCAGGTAACCTGGCTGGCACCTGACCAATGAGGGGACAAGATACTTTCAGATCTGGAGCGGGGCGGGGGGCAGGGGGGAGAAACAAAGAGTTGGTCTGTCTGTGTGATGCTTTTGCCAGGAACAGATCAGGAATGCAGTCTCATAACTCCTTCAATTAGTAAGTAATCTAGCTAGAAATGCCTTAGATTTCCTTTTGTTTAATGGCTGGTAAAATAAGCTGTGCTGGAGGGAATGTATATTCCTGCTTTTGTGTCTTTTTGTAACTTAAGGTTTTGCCTAGAGGGATTCTCTACGTTTTGAATCTGACTGCCTGTAAGGTATTTACCATCCTGATTTTACAGAGGTGATTCTTTTACCTTTTCTTTAATTAAAATTCTTCTTTTAAGAACCTGATTGCTTTTTCATTGTTCTTAAGATCCAAGGGTTTGGGTCTTTGTTTACCTGTACAAATGGGTGAGGCTTCTTATCAAGCCTTCCCCAGGAAAGGGGGTGTAGGGCTTGCGGGGGGGGATATTTTGGGGGAAGACGTCTCCAAGTGGGCTCTTTCCCTGGTCTTTGTTTAAAATGCTTGGTGGTGGCAGCATAGGGTTCAAGGACAAGGCAAAGTTTGTACCTTGGGGAAGTTTTTAACCTAAGCTGGTAAGAATAAGCTTAGGGGGTCTTTCATGCGGGTCCCCACATCTGTACCCTAGAGTTCAGGGTGGGGAAGTGTTCAGGAAAAGTTAGCATATGTGACCCATTTTGGTTTGGGGCCCACCATTGTCTAAAAGCCAGCACATCATGTACCAGGAGGAGTGTTCCTTCGATACTGCATTCCTGTGAAAACCCTCCCCCTTGTCTCCAGCTTATCTCGACTCCAGGTTTCTGTTCTTTGTCTGTTTCTAACTCCCAGCCTCCTGGCCTTGTGATGTGGGCCTCCCGTCCTGATAAGAACGGTTACTGCTGCATTGCTTTGGGACCATGTTGTGTAGTTGAAGTCATGGTTTAGCACGGGGAATGTACCTAGCAGGGATGGGTGGTAGATAAGGAAAAGGTTTGTCTATTGGCTAAGGTGTCCGATGCACGAGGGCAACATGCTTTGCTAAGAGGTATATAATCTCTGGATAACCTGCATTCGGGGTCCTCTCCTGACTAGCAGGGGGGCACCACGCTCGAGCGTAATAAACTTAGTGTCTCTGGAAACTCTGCAGTTGTGGACTTTATTCGTGTGCCTCAGCCTAGACTTGAACTGCGCGTGACCTAAGAGGTATAATTCGCAACAGAAGGAACCTTGACACCTCCTATAATCATTGGAGTATGACAGGCTTCAATAAACTTGTTCATACCACTTGTTACGCATGAAAAGAAAACAAGCAGGATAAACTTGCAGGATGGGGGTATAATGATGCTGGTTCTGGCGGGACCCAACTGAGAGTGCCAATTCAGGACAAATTGCTTCAAGCAGGGCAGTTACAGCCCAAGGCTGGGGTTTTTCCACCTCTAAGGCACCAAACCAGCCAAACAGAGCAGACTTTGGTCTCACCCCGCTGGCTGACCACAAGTCACACAAGCAATTCCCTCAGACACTCCAGGTTCCCAGTATCCCCACCAGCGCCACTCGTTATGGGGACAGATGGTTATGAAAACCAAGACCCCAGGAAAAGAAAAAAGATTCCCTCGATCCCAAAGGACCAAGCCCCAGACCCAGGTCAATAGACAAATCAGATCGTACCCACAAATCACGCTGTTGCCAATCCTTTAGACTCTAAAGTCTAAAGGTGTATTCATAAAAGGAAAGAAATACAGATGAGAGCTAGAATCGGTTCAATGGAATCAGGGACATACAGCGACGGCCAAGTTCTTGGTTCAGGCTTGCAGCAGCGATGGAATAAACGGCAGGTTCAAATCCAGTCTCTGGAGAACATCCCCAGCTGGGATGGGTCCTTCAGTCCTTGGGTCAAAGCTTCCGTTTGTAGCAAAGTCCCTCCAGAGGTCAGAAGCAGGACTGAAGACAAGATGGAAGAGCTGCAGCAGCTTTGTATAGTCTCCTGCCAGGTGGTCTCTGCTTTCTGTGTCCCAAAGACAAGCTGCCCAGCACACGGCCTGGAAACACCTCAGCGTTCTGTCCATAGGTAGTTCCCTGCCTACCTGGCTGAGTCCCCAGGCGTGTCTGCCTTCTCTCAATGGGTCAATCGTATCGCTGATGGTCCTTAATGGGCCATCAAGCTGGCTAGGCAGAGCTGACACCAACTTGTCTGGGGTGTCACTCAGAAGCAGAGCATACGTTTGAACTACAGACAGTAGAGAGCCAATATTCATAACTTTAATTATAAAAATGATACACACATGTACACAGCATAATCATAACCAGCAAACCATAAGCTTGTGTTAGACACCTCATTTGACCCCCTTTATACAAGATTTGGTGCCACTCCAGGACTTTGGTTGCAACCATGTTCTATACAGTCCCAGTTCAAGTCAATAATGTCACGGGGGGTTAACAAATTTGTTCCTGAGTTTAAGAAACCATTTGTAACAACAGCTGTAATCTTAGCACTTTAGGACATACGTTTTGTCTCTCGGGATGTGCTGGTATAATTAACACCGACCTTGTAAACTGACAGGCATATTTCAATTAGCACAAACTCAGCAAGCTGAGAGGCATATTTCTCTCTAATGGTCGGGCCAGCTCCGGGGTCTGTTCTGGGCCATACTTTCTCACATCTTCCCGGAACATAAATGTTCTAATTATTACTTTAATCCAACAGGAGTTCCTGAGCAAAGGTCTCAGACCTGAGCAGAGAGGCTACCTTGATAACAACCACAATAGACACAATAGAAACAGAGAGAGAGAGAGCGAGGCCTCATTGCAAGTCAAAGGGAAGTTCACAGACCTCTATATTTGTCACACAAATATCCTAGTACTGCTGCTCCGACTGGTATAAGAAGACACATTTCTAATGGAACTATCGCCTCTGCTATCATTCCTAAACAGCCCAAGCCTAGCACAGCCGCAACCAGTCTTTCTTTTAGTTTTTGAGCTCCTCCTCCGTTGTCCCCTTGAGCTCCTCCTCTGTTGTCCCCTTGAGCTCCTCCTCTGTTGTCCCCTTGAGCTCCTCCTCCGTTGTCCCCTTGAACTCTTCCTCCGCTGTCCCCTTGAGCTCCTCCTCTGCTGTCCCCTTGAGCTCTTCCTCCGCTGTCCCCTTGGGCTCCTCCTCTGTTGTCCCCTTGAGCTCCTCCTCCGTGGTCCCCTTCAGCTCCTCCTTTTTCCTCTGCCAAGCTTGTTTTCCAATCTTAAATAAATAAATAAATAAATGAAATAATTAATCTTAAATGATTTTAGTAATTAGTGTCCCAAAGATTAACCCAAGGGCTTGCTGGGCTGGTCACGTCGGGATCGTTCATCCAGCCGAGTCCATGAAGGTGGGGGGCGGCAGGTGTTGGGCCCGAGGTCTTTGGGGGTGGCAGCTACGGAGAGGAATAGGGGTTGGGAACAGCCAGCAGGAGTCTACGAGGTCACAGGACCTGAAAGTTTTAGTCACCTTGACCAGCCCCCGTCACTCAGCCTGAAGTCAAAGCGTTCCCGATGTCCGACATACCTGGCCAACTTGTGCCCCCAGTTGTTAGGTGGCTTCTGGGTTTGGGTCTGGCCTGGGACACAAGGACAGATCTGGGGCGGGGAAGGAAGTGCTAGTGGAGGCCCCAAAGAGGTGTGTCCACTGGCTTCTCAAAATCTCTGGTTAATGAGGTTCCTGGCCCTGTTTTGCTCCTCCCCCTGCTCCATTCCCTTTACCTAACTCTTTCTTCATTAACTTGTCAGCGAGATCTTTCCTCGGTATGGCTTCCAGGACCTTCCTGGCTTTTTTCAGGGCCTGATTGCTTCCGAAGTGGCTCACCATCTTGTCGATGGTCTCTTTCCGGTCGGCTCCATCCAAAGAGGAAACCCTCATTTTCTTCTCATCAGCTTCATTCTTCAGATACCATTTGAAATTTTCAAAGTCTTTGTCACTCAGCTCTTCCAGGATTTCAATAAGTATGCATTTGTCGTTGTTCAACATGGTGCAGAGATAATTAACTCCTGAGGAACGGAGAGGAAGAACATCAAGTGGAGGATAAAGTGGGAATGTCCCCAATCACATAAAATGAAACCCCTGGGCGCATCTAGCCCAGAATCCATCACACCCCCACCCCAGCTCAGACCTATGATGGCTTGATCCTGGTCTATAAGTATCCAGACAGGGAGGAGATTTTAGAGATACGGGGTCTCTTTAATCTCACAGACAAAGGCAGAATGAGAACAACCGGCTTGGAAATGACACTAGCGTTGACCAAGATATGCTGGGCTATCGATCTAACCCCATCCACCCCCCTATCTATCTATCTATCTATCTATCTATCTATCTATCTATCTATCTATCCCCAGCCACCTCCTCTATCCCCCCAAATACACACTGACCCCCTTCCTGCTTCACAGAGCACCCCAAAAATCTGGCAACCCCGCCACCTCGGACCTGCTCTAAACCACGTCCAGCTGGCTCCTGTCTCAAGACCACACGACGCTCCCAGCCGTACCACTGGCAGTCCCGGGGCAGCCACCTAGGCTGACGACCCCCATCCAGGTGTTCCCCAAGGCCAGCGTTCTGCCCCTGTGCGCCACCGTCCCCCTGTCCTATTGCCAGTGATGAGCATACAAAATCCTAACAACCGGTCCCCTCCGCACCCCACGAGGGGGTCGTTGCCCCCCCCCGGACCCTTGCCCCATCCACCCCCTCCCCTGTCCCCTGGCTGCCCCCAGAACCGAGCAGGAGGGTCTGATGGGCTACCGTAGTGGGTGCCCATCCTACCCCTAAGAGCCAGAGGCACCTGCCGGGGGGCGAGGTGGGGAGTCCCGGGGGTGCTTACCTGGGGCAGCTCCCAGGAAGCATCTGGCAGGTCCCTCTGGCTCCTAGGGGCGGGGGAGCGTAGCTGTGGGGGAGCAGGGGGAGCGGCCGCTCCCCGCACTGATCACATCAAAAAACGACCTGGGTGCTCCGGGGCGGGGCGGTGGGTTCAGGAAGGATGTGGAAAAAGCTAATGTACTCAATGCTTTTTTTGCCTCTGTTTTCACTAACAAGGTCAGCTCCCAGACTGCTACGCTGGGCATCACAAAATGGGGAAGAGATGGCCAGCCCTCTGTGGAGATAGAGGTGGTTAGGGACTATTTAGAAAAGCTGGACGTGCACAAGTCCATGGGGCCAGACGAGTTGCATCCGAGAGTGCTGAAGGAACTGGCGGCTGTGATTGCAGAGCCATTGGCCATTATCTTTGAAAACTCATGGCGAACCGGGGAAGTCCCGGATGACTGGAAAAAGGCTAATGTAGTGCCAATCTTTAAAAAAGGGAAGAAGGAGGATCCTGGGAACTACAGGCCAGTCAGCCTCACTTCAGTCCCTGGAAAAATCATGGAGCAGGTCCTCAAAGAATCAATCCTGAAGCACTTGCATGAGAGGAAAGTGATCAGGAGCAGTCAGCATGGATTCACCAAGGGAAGGTCATGTCTGACTAATCTAATCGCCTTCTATGATGAGATTACTGGTTCTGTGGATGAAGGGAAAGCAGTGGATGTATTGTTTCTTGACTTTAGCAAAGCTTTTGACACTGTCTCCCACAGTATTCTTGTCAGCAAGTTAAGGAAGTATGGGCTGGATGAATGCACTACAAGGTGGGTAGAAAGCTGGCTAGATTGTCGGGCTCAACGGGTAGTGATCAATGGCTCCATGTCTAGTTGGCAGCCGGTATCAAGTGGAGTGCCCCAAGGGTCGGTCCTGGGGCCGGTTTTGTTCAATATCTTCATAAATGATCTGGAGGATGGTGTGGATTGCACTCTCAGCAAATTTGCGGATGATACTAAACTGGGAGGAGTGGTAGATACGCTGGAGGGGAGGGATAGGATACAGAAGGACCTAGACAAATTGGAGGATTGGGCCAAAAGAAATCTGATGAGGTTCAATAAGGATAAGTGCAGGGTCCTGCACTTAGGACGGAAGAACCCAATGCACAGCTACAGACTAGGGACCGAATGGCTAGGCAGCAGTTCTGCGGAAAAGGACCTAGGGGTGACAGTGGACGAGAAGCTGGATATGAGTCAGCAGTGTGCCCTTGTTGCCAAGAAGGCCAATGGCATTTTGGGATGTATAAGTAGGGGCATAGCGAGCAGATCGAGGGACGTGATCGTTCCCCTCTATTCGACATTGGTGAGGCCTCATCTGGAGTACTGTGTCCAGTTTTGGGCCCCACACTTCAAGAAGGATGTGGATAAATTGGAGAGAGTCCAGCGAAGGGCAACAAAAATGATTAGGGGTCTGGAACACATGAGTTATGAGGAGAGGCTGAGGGAGCTGGGATTGTTTAGCCTGCAGAAGAGAAGAATGAGGGGGGATTTGATAGCTGCTTTCAGCTACCTGAAAGGGGGTTCCAAAGAGGATGGCTCTAGACTGTTCTCAATGGTAGCAGATGACAGAACGAGGAGTAATGGTCTCAAGCTGCAGTGGGGGAGGTTTAGATTGGATATTAGGAAAAACTTTTTCACTAGGAGGGTGGTGAAACACTGGAATGCGTTACCTAGGGAGGTGGTAGAATCTCCTTCCTTAGAGGTTTTTAAGGTCAGGCTTGACAAAGCCCTGGCTGGGATGATTTAACTGGGAATTGGTCCTGCTTCGAGCAGGGGGTTGGACTAGATGACCTTCTGGGGTCCCTTCCAACCCTGATATTCTATGATTCTATGATTCTATAAGAAGGCAGAGGCCCCTCAGGGCGGTGGGTTCAGGGGAGGAGGCGGGGGGGCGGAGAAGCAGGGCGGGGCGGTGGGTTCAGGGGAGCTGCCGGTGGGGGCTCTGCACCCACCAAATTGTCCCCGTGGGGGCTCCAGGGCTGGAGCACCCGTGGAGTCGGCGCCTAAGGCCCCACGCTTAGCCCCATGTTGCATTTCGAAGCCTTTTTCGAGCCGGTTCTCCCCACGGAACAGCCGGTTCTAAAAGGGCTTCGAAATTGAACCACCGGCTCCAGCGAACCGGCTCCAGCTCCCCCCCGCCTATTGCCCTGCGAGCGTTTTACCGTCCCGTCGAGGAGCGAGTCGGTGGCGGGACCTTTCCGACGTGCTGGAGGCCCCGGGGGGGACGTCTGTCGAGGGATTCACAGTGGGAAATCCGTCAGGTCTTGTGTTAGGAATTAAATGGCTTTGTGGACCCTTCTGGGATGCATCAGGCGGCTGAAGGGATGATGCAGAATGAAACAGAAACCGCTGCAAAGGCCCAGCCTCTCCCTGACTTCCTGAGGGGTGTGGGGCAGGGCAGATGCACCTGCTGATTTCCTGCAAAAGGCCCCTCCAGGATGTAGGGCTGCAGCAAAGCGGGGGGACTTTGGCCTTTGGTCACAGGTCCCCTGCCTGCTGCAACAGGACTGTCGGTTACAGTCCTGGGGCCAGCCGGGAGGGAGCTAGACAGTCAGACATAGAGGGAGCTGACAGACGCACAGCTAGGGGCTGTCCTTGTTGCCGGCACCCAGTGCCGAGAGGCTGAACAACAGCTTGAGTTGGTTCGTTACCCGGTGTGCTACACCCAATAATCACAACGGGGTGGAGAAGCAGAAAAGTTTATTTGAAGCTTCAAAAAGGTACAGGGAGATTTGAATCTCAAATCCTGTACAACAGAGCAGGAAGTTACACAGGCTTTTATACATCCTTTTCCCCAGCATACTTATCCAATAGCAAGCTGCTCCAAGTAGCCATATAGCCAGCCAATCCAGTTCCCAGCTAGTTCCCTGATTCTCTGTATCATTTGTTAAACTCTACATAAAGCTGCTTTATTCAGCATTGTTCTTCCATATCTCCCCTGTTTGGCCTTGCTTAGTTTCAGGCAGTCTGACTCTGCAACATACTGTTGCAGATTCTCAGCATAACTGCTGTGTGTGCCTCCAGGCGGGGGGGGGGGGGGGCAAGGACACCGGGGCCTAGTGCGAGGGGGCTTCATCGACACTCGTGGTCTTCCATCCCCTCGAGTTACCTAGTGGCCATGCCCCAGTGTCCCCAACAACTCCCCCCTTTGAGAACACTCAACAACCTTGGCTCTGAGTTTTCTCACTTGGGCTACTTATTTCTTTACAATATGACTTTGCATAAGCACTCTGTGATAGCCCTGAAGAGAGTGACTTATTAACTTTTGCAAAAGGGCCCTGGCACATGATACCGCACAGCATAATACCAGTAATACAAGCAATACAGGAAAGAGAAATTTCAATAGCAGGCTAAATAAACCACCAAGCCAAGACGACAAACCCCAGCCTGAAAACAAGGTTTGCAACCAATCGTTCTCTGGGGCAGTGTAGGCAACCTGTGCTCCGGCTCGGGCATGGGCCTCAGCCTGTACCACCTTTTCATAGATCTCATAACTGCTATCATTGACATATACACAACATCGGGGCCCGACGAGGGCACAAACCCCCCTTGGGATGCCAAGAGATAGTCCAAAGCCAGCCTGTTTTGGAGGGAAAACGTCCTGAGCTGCTGAACCTCTTTATTTAATGTTTTTACTGTTGACCCTAAATCACTAACCGAGTCCTCTAACTCTAAGGCCACCTTCTCAAGTACCATTTGCAGGCTTACAGTATAGCGGCCTATGCCTGCCAGGGCTGGCCCGGTAAACAGTGGTGCTGTTCCCAGTACAGAGCACCCTACCAGCTTCTCGGTTGTGAGGGGATTCTTCATATTGCCCTCCAATGCCTTAGTCAGTCGCCGCAGGGTCTTTTCTCGTGACTCAACAGAGGTGTCTCGGGCATTTCTAATCTTTCCTTTGGGCAGCGTGGCAGTTATGGAAAGATGAGGAACTCCATGAGCTATATAACAGCTACCTGTCCAGTTGGCTGGCAGCACCTTGTAAGCCTTTCGGCCACATACAAAATAGTGACCCTGTAGGGCCCAGTAAGGACTGTTTCTTAAGGGGATTCCTGGGATATTTAAGGCTGCTTTTCCAAACAGGTCATATGCCCCTAGGGGGGCATCCCATCCTCCTGATTGGGTACAAGTGGGGGCATTTCTAATTGTCCCGTTCAAATTACACTCGCCATAGGGACCACTACAAACCCACCATTGGCTTGCTACATTGGAGATATTAACTGGACGGCAAGTTATATTTCCAAACCCCTTTTTTGTGGTAAGATTATTTGTAAGAGTTTCCCTAAAAGGGGAGGAACCACTACACCCACACTGCTGGCCTCCCCTGTTGGTCTTTATCCAATACCCACCAGCCCACTGTGTAAATAACACAGGAGCTTTTTCCCACAGGATGCCCATAGGGATCAGATTGGTTTTGGGTAAAACATAACACTCCCTCAGTGAGTACTGCAACTGAATACTCCTGGTCCTGATAGGTGGCTTGCTGTAAAGAGGTCTTGTTCCAGAACGGTGAGTTTGTTCTTTCCTGCTCTTTGGGGGTGGCTAATTCTGCTAGGGTCAGGGGCAGCATGTCAAGGGGCATTCCCGTCTTGGGGGACAGTGGAGTCGGAGCACATACCCAGCAATCAGTCTGGTTTGTTAAATTAGCAACATGGTGCGCAAGCAAAACAAAGGAGTTATGCTCCCGATATGCACAGTTTGGAAATACCAATACAAAGAATAACAATGTTACCCAATTAATTATTACCAGAGTCTTCCCAACCCAAGGTCTCCAATACCTGGGTGGGCCCATTTTAGCATTAAGGTGCCCGCTATTTGTGTCTTTTAAACAGTAGCTTTAGCCCGAGATCGTCACTAGATGAGGAGTCAGCAGGTTGGACGGTCCACTGTTCCGCTGACGAGGGGGCGGGTACTGCCTTCAGACGAGAGTGATGGATCCAGTTCTTGTGTCCCTCGATCTTTGCCGCTGTATGGGAGATCAGCAGGACGGTATAGGGTCCTTTCCACTTTTCCTGGAGAGGCTCGTCTTTCCAGGTGCGAACAAGCACAGAGTCACCGGGCTGTAAGGAGTGAACGGGAGAGTCCAAGGGGAGAGGCTGGGAATCCTTGGTATACCTGTGAAGAGACAAGAGAACAGCAGACAGGGAACACATATACTGTGACAAAAAAACATTACCCAACTCCCATTCCCCTGACAGAACCGGGGTGCCATTCATGGGCCATGCCCTTCCAAACATAATTTCAAAGGGACTGAGCCCTAATCTACCCTTTGGGAGAACGCGGATACGGAGTAGGACGAGGGGCAAAGCATCAGGCCATCGCAGTGAGGCTTCTTGGCACACTTTTGAGAGATGCCGTTTAAGGGTCTGATTGATACGCTCCACTACCCCACTGGCTTGCGGTCTCCAGGGCGTATGGAGTTTCCAGGGGATCTGTAAGGCATGTGAGATGCTTTGAATGATTTTTTATGTGAAGTGTGCCCCATTGTCAGATTCCATCCACAGGGGGAGTCCAAAGCGAGGAATGATCTCCTTAACAAACTTGAGGGCCACTGTCCTGGCAGTGCAGTTACGGCATGGGAAGGCTTCTGGCCATCCGCTGAACCGATCCACTATAACAAGGAGATATTTGAACCCTTGGGTCCGGGGAAACTCAGTAAAGTCTATTTGCCACACTTGTCCGGGGCCCGGAGTGGGTTCCAGGGCAGCTGGTGGCACAGGATGTCCCGGTCGGGGATTATTCTTTTGGCAGACTAAGCAGTCCGCTTGTACCTGGGCAGCCAGGGGTCGGAGTCCGGAAGTGATAAAGTATTTTCCCATTAGCTGGATAAGTGCTTCCCTGCCAGCATGAGTGGTTTGATGTAGTTTCTGCAGCACCGGCCGGATCAGGCCCTTTGGTAAGAGGACCTTCCCTTCTGGGGAATGGAGCCATCCCTCCTTTTCCCGGAGACCGAGTTTGTCAGTTAGCTGTCTCTCCTCCCCAGAGTACTGAGGGGTTGGAAGCTCCCCTCCTGATGGGATAAGGGCATGCATATGGGCGTTCTCAGCCTGAGGGGATGGCAGGGTGGCAGCATGCTTAGCCTCTCTATCTGCCCGGGCGTTACCTCTGGCCACATCTTGATCCTCCCTTTGATGGGCTTTACAGTGTACCACCGCCACTTCCGAGGGGAGTTGTACGGCTTCTAGGAGCCGGAGGATTTGGGGCCCGTACTTGACTGGGGAGCCTTGGGCTGTCAGCATTCCCCTTTGCTTCCATAGGCCAGCATGAGCATGCAGCACCCCAAAAGCATACTTTGAATCAGTAAAAATGTTGACCCGCTTTCCTTTTGACAGTTCAAGTGCACGGGTCAGGGCTATTAGTTCGGCCAGCTGGGCAGAGGTCCCAGCAGGCAAACCTTCAGCTTCCACAGTGTCATGGAGGGTCACAACAGCATAACCCGCCCTCCTTTGCCCATCTATTACAGTACTGCTACCATCAGTGTACCACTCATAATCTGCATTTGGGACAGGTGCATCCTTTAAATCCGGACGGCTGGAGTACTGGACATCTATGATCTCTAAACAGTCATGTTCCTGTTCCTCGTTTCTGTTCCTCTGTTTCTGGCAAGAGAGTGGCTGGGTTAAGGGAGGGGCAAGGCTGTAAGGTGACTTCAGAGGTCTCTAACAGCTTAGCCTGGTACCGAGCAATGGAGCCTGGGTGAGCCAAAGCCCTGCCTTTGCATCCAATAAGGCTCGGACCATATGGGGAGTATAGATTTGCATAACCCCTCCCAATGTTAGCTTCTCCGCTTCCTCAAGCAATAGGGCAGTAGCTGTGACCGCCCGTAAACATGCCGGCCAACCCTTTGCAGCCTGATCCAGTTGCTTAGAAAAATAAGCCACAGGACGCTTCCATGCTCCTAACAGCTGTGTAAGCACTCCTAGGGCCACCCCCCTTCGTTCATGTACATACAACTGAAACGGCTTAGAGAGATCCGGCAGGCCCAGAGCCGGGGCTTCCATCAATTTTCTTTTCAGGATTTTAAATGCCCTGTCAGCCTCTGGGGTCCAATAGAAGGGGTCATGATCTGCTCCTTTTACACAGTCGTACAGGGGTTTAGCCCACAGTCCAAACTCTGGGATCCATATCCTGCAAAAGCCTGCCATACCCAGAAATGCCCTGAGCCGCTTACGGTTACTTGGGGTAGGAACTTGACAGATAGCTTCCTTTCTTTTTTTTTTTCGCTTGAACGCTGACGCTCCCCTTGCCTTAGCTGTAACCTGATCCCTCTCCACCTCAGACAACAGGGTTCTCAGGAGGATATTACAGTCCTCTCAATCGGCTTGTGACTACTGAGGCACCCCTCAAAGACTGAAATAAACCTGCTTGGGTTCGTTGAGAATTCCCCAGCCTGTGTTTTAAAAGCTGCTAAGTCTATTGGATTGAATGGCACATGGGTTTAAACTTGCATAGTGGTAGCCTGACGTCCGTCTGCCCCTGGGCAAGCCACAACAGTCTCGGTAAGCAAAGGATAGAGTACCACCGAGGGGACAATCTCTGTAACCCGAGGCATCCTACCCTTATAAGGTGGGGATGTGGGGGCCGAAGGGGACACCGGCTCTG